TGTGAAGTTTGTCTTGCCATGTACTGACACTTCTTTGGTATGTTTGGCCAGTGGGTGTGAAGTGTGTGTCCATGTGGTCACCTCAGTGCCAAACGCAGGACTTCACTTCCACTGGTTCATATGCAGGGCCCATTTCCTGCGCACGGTTTGAGTCAAACTTAAGCATTAAAGGTGGGGTAGGTAATTTATTTCAGAAACACTTTTTGTTATATTCCATGGAATGCTCTTAACATCCCGATAGCAATGAATAAATTAGATGCTTTGACAATAAATACATTAAAAAAATTCTGTGGAAGCCGTAGCACTGTAAAAAGCACGACCAATCATTTGAGCCGGCCCGACTAAAATAATTGGATGGCCTACCTGCCTGTCAGCCTTCCATCTGTGCACAAACTTATCTCGTGCCCTCATTGGTCATGTGCGCGTTCGTGTGTGTTGGAGGAGGGGCTCTGTAAGGAAGTGGCAGATTTTTTCCGGTTGTGTATTTTCAAATTCTAGCGCACTCGAGCTGGTTTCTCCAAAATTACCTACCCCACCTTTAAGCATTAACTGATTAGACAGACAAACATTTTAATTGTCATGATCCCTATGATCAAACAGAGCTATCAAGCTTTGCTGCCTGTTGTCATGGCAATATAGTAGAGGAAGTGGAACAAATCCAGAAAATAGGCTTTAGTTTTTGATATACCCCTACCCGATGTAGAACAAAGCAAAAAACATGTCTTTTCATTACTGTATTATGCCTACTTTCTGAATTGGATGGTTGTATAAACATGTAAATGCAAAATTAGTTATTTATCTCTTCTTGCAAAACCCAAATATAGTGAAAATGTAGGCTTATATAGTGTCTGCCTTGTACAGTATTCTCTGGAAATAATTATTAGAAAGTCACCAAATTTGGACAAGATGTCAACAGTCGGGCATTGCATACAACATTAAACATTAAACAGGGATATTAAATAATGAAAAAACTGTGGGGTGCTTTGTAGTTAGGGCCACCTCTTTTTTTAGGGGCCTCAGTCCCCGTGCTTATATAGTAGTGCCTGTTTAATGTGTGTGTGGAGTTTCTGAAAGTAGCTTGATGTCCTCCCAGATCCAGTTTTTATGCCTGTGTGTACATTGTATAAATAATGTTGTCGTCCTGTTTGTGTGTCCTGTGATTTACTTGTTGGTGCACATGACATAATGCAGAAAGACATTTGTGGTTTGTGATATTTATCTATTTAAATAAAACTAACTTGACTTGATTTAACGTTCATCCGGGTCATGCTGTTTTGAAGAGGGAATGGAGGTTGGACTGAGTTCACTAGTACCATTGTAAATAGTAGCCAATATGGGTTATGATGCTTTGTAAATCATTGATAACTGACAAGGTTTGAATACAAACATTATATTGCAGTTTTAGTGTCGCCAACTCCGTTTGTAATATGCAAAAGGTCTGCAAAATGCGTCTATGATTATTTTTAGTAATTTTCGATCTTTCCAATCCAGACGAGAGATCTCTCTCTCCTGTCTGTGTGCGAGGGGGCGGGGCAGTTTACACACACGCTCTGCTACATGCATGCAACACACACACACACACGCTCTGCTACATGCATGCAACACACACATACACACGCTCTGCTACATGCATGCAACACACACACACACGGCGGAGATGGCGGAGAGAAGCGCTCCGAGGTGTGGTTAAATGTAGGGATGCTCCGATCGCCAATTTTGGGGCCGATCGCCGAAATCAGTATCGGCCGATACCGATTGCCGATCCGATCAAGTGGGCGGGGCCTATGGGGATCTTCCATTTAAAGTGATGTTTAAAACTCAGTTAATGGGGCTCATTCACTGGCGCTTCCAGAAACAACAACCAACATAATTATTACATTCAAATGAAGTACATTATTCAAGTTTACATTAACTTTGGATAATAACACGGGAGAAATGAGCGGAAGCGCTCTCTTTTCCTCTCTCCCTCTCTCTCTCTCCTGACAGCCCGTCAGTATTTCATGCAGCTCACTGATCCAGTAATGAGTGACCCGACAGTGAAGAATACATATATTTATAACTAGTTTAGCTTGTTCCAGAGGTAGATAAAATAGCTTGTGTGTTAGGTCTAACTCTTAATGTGGGTTCTGCTCCGCTCACCGGTCCGTCACAGCGGGTGGAGCTGCAGGATTTCTGCTTCACACACGTTGCATACCACTATTTTACTGTCCTTTTCGGACACCTTAAAATACTGCCAGACTGGTGAAACCATTTTGGCGAGCTTGTTTTGCCGTGCACAGAGAAAAGTGTCATGTATTTTACGTCATAATTTTACTTCATGCGATCGGCTATCGCAATCGGCATTTTTAGAGAGCGCCGATCGATCGGCAGAGAGTGAGTATCGGCCGATATCGATCGGCGACCGATCGATCGGAGCATCCCTAGTTAAATGTTACCCGTCTCGATGTGGACAATGCTTGTTACCAAAAGTGCAATAAGAGTTTAGTATGTAAGGGCGGTAACACGAGCAGTTTGTCTAAACATTTAGCAAAAGTGCTCCACATTCAGACGGAGAAATGCACCGGGTTTGACTGTCTTTCTAGTAGCTCTGTAGCCCCATCCACGAGTAACGTTTCCACGTCAGGTATGTTGTGTATGCTAGCAGCAACACACAGAGTTAACTCAATTATACAAACATGGGTTAATGATTAGAGGTAACTGAGTTATTTATTTAGTTAAAGTTTCAGCTATTCTTTTGATGTTAAATATGATTTATTTAATTTAAATAAAAAGCAATGTTAATTTTGTTAACAATTTGTTTAGTTAGTTTACCTTGTTTTTTTTCAAAAGAACCGATGAGAGAACCGTTAAAAGACCGGATCAATAAGCGGTATCGATAAAAGTAGTAGTACCGTTAAAACCTTAACGATACCCATCCCTACTGGCTATAATACTGTTATTCAGTGAGTAACATCTCAAACCATCAGACGTGTGATACATGCCTTTCATCATTGGACGTGATGTTCTTATTCAAAACATTTAACATTTTTAACAATAGAGGGAAAATATGGCTGATATTATGCAATATGATATAAACACAAATATCCTCAAAATAAAAGCAGCCATCTAAATGAACAACTTTAAGAAGCTGAGCATGCATTCAGTGACAACTTTCAGTATGATGCAGTTTTCCAACATGTGTCTGCAGAAAACTGAGATTCCTCATCTAAAGGCATGAAAAGGAGAAAGGACTTTTCCAATTGTTCCTTTTAAAAATGAGAACCCATCACCCAGGTATACGGTGTTGGTACACCCCTGACAGAAAGTGATGTGTGTATTGATTATGCGTTTCTATACAAATGTCTTCATGTGTGTGTGGGTGCTACAGCAGCTCACTTGTACACACTGTATACATTTCCTTTGTTTGTTTTTTTCAAATAATTTACACACACCATAATTAACAAGGTCGAACTTACATTTTTTGGGTTATAAGTTTTGTTAGGTATTTTTTTAGCTAGTAATGTTTCTCTATTATACATTAGTACTTTGTATTGTGAATACTTTCTGTTTAGTGTCTGGGTCTCTTTTCTAAAGCTTCATATCACTTATTGGGGTGTCCCACTTCAAATATCTTCCCTATGGCTTATGATTGTACTTATATTTGTATACTGTTTGTGAATAAAATACATTGAATAGAATACTCAGCAAGCAGACTCTGTAAAATGCTTTGCAAATTACAGATATGAGTGGCGTCAAACTGATGTTTCATCAGACTACTGATGTGCACCATGAAGAAGACTGACTTCACACTGATACAATGCTGACAGTTAACTGAGGGAATAGCATTGGAAACTACTCCCCCCTACAATTAGGAGGTAAATCCATGACATTTATTTAGTACCTTTAGTTCATTTACTGATTTTGTTTAACAATGTGAAATATAACAATTTAAACTTAAGTTCCACCCGGAGTAAATTCACAAGCTACCCTGCAGTATACAAAGTCATTCAAACTAGCTGCACCTTTACCAGCTTTGATAACACTTTAATGATCAATCATTATAAAACATATCATATATATTATTCTGAAAAGGGCCAATCTGCATAAGGAGTACATTTAATTTTGTTACTTTAAGTATATTTTGATGGTAAATTACTGTTGTACTTTTACTTGAGAAACCTTTTGAATACAGGACTTATAACAGAGTATTCTTACACTCTGGTACCTCTACTTTTATACAAGTACTTCTTCTAAAGTAACTAAAGGTATTACATTACTGTAGTTAAGTTTAAGTACACGATATACCTCTGAATTGCAGTGAGGTAGAAGTATAATGTAGGAAACGATTAAAATAGTCAAGTAAAGTACAAGTCCCTCAAAATTCTGATTCTAGCCTTAAGACTTGATGAAAAGCCTCGCATCCATAAGAGAGGAAGCTAAGCCCCGCCTCTGGCTGGACACTTTGAGATTAAATATTAGGACCACAAACCCGACAGTGGAGAAAGTAAGGATTATAAAGACCTAGACCCAAAAGGAGGACATATGTAGCGAGTCCAGCAGCCTTTTCTTTGCCAATAAGACATTCCGGCTTCTTTTTCACTATCAAAGCAGAACGTCTGCGTGACACCCGACACCGAGCAGGAATGGCTGGAGCTGCCGAGGCCCGAGAAAATAGCCCAGGCTGCCTCCAAACTTCATTTATGCCCCGACACATCAAGTGTGTATCTACAAATGTTGTACAAAGCATGAGGAACACTTTAGTTACACCGGGGTTATCCTCCAGTGTGCCGCACGCACCGACGCACAGTTTAGACACTTTCATTGTGTTGTTGTACCCTTGGGACATAAAAACCTCAACTTCCAGACAAGGAATCACAGCGAGTTCGTCTCATTGTGGGGACCATTACAGGGAGCGGAGCACACACAGACAACTCAGGGATGCATGTTGAGTTTACTACTATGTTCTTATCAATTGTCCTTGTTCCCTGAGGATCCATGTTGTGAACAAAAACTCAACGTACCGTCAACCGCCGACAGCAGGCAGCTCCACAGCAGCAGCATCAGACCGCCCATTTCAAGTCCCCTTCGCGTTAAATCCATAACTCCCGCTCCATGTTCGGATATTTACTCCTTAATTAAGTTGTAAAGCTTGTGTTCACACATCGGCCGGTGTTCCTCTGTGGAAGCAGATACGTGTCTGGTCTGCATGCGTGTGTGTGTGAGAGTGTGTGTGTGAGTGTGTGTGTGTGTTTGTGTGTGTGAGTGTGTGTGAGCTCCTCTCTGTCGACTATACTTTTTTTTCCCCTGTTAATGCGCTCGCGCTACTTTATACTTTGGACTGTCGAGCTCGCGCACGAAGAGAAAAGGGCAGGCGGACGTGGTGTGACGTCATCCAACACGAGGCACCCAGATTTGTATTATTTTTGCTAAATTGACTTTTGTGTTAATGTTACATCTGTGTATTTGATGTAAAAGATAGGCTGTTCTTTAGAAAAAACGTTGCCGGGCCCTCGTAAGAAACAGCTCAATTGGTGATTGTTCATGTCTATAATGAAACAACAATTCAATTGTTAATATTATTTCTATATAGCCTATACATTTCAATATATTTTTGTGTACAGGTTTGGGGGGGTTACTTTAAAATGTATTTCTTTACAATTACACATTGTATCTTTAAAAATATATTCAGTAACCTCGTCTAAGTATCATATCATTAAAGTCATATTACCTGATTATTATCGTTTACTTTTGGAATACCTTGATACCAAATGCAATGCAAATAAATATCAATCAGATGTTTTTGTGTATTGTGTAAGTCAGAACAACGTCACCTTAGAAGAGAAGAAACAGAGTTAGCAAATTCAGTTTTATGGGGGACATTTTTTAATAACCCAGTGAGAAAACTTTGCGCAGAAATAAAGATGTCCGAGAATGCAAGAAGCTGTCTTTGTAGATTTGATTTTCTGCTGATAAGACCCAATCACCATACAGAGTGTCAAACAGTCTGAAGACAAAGAGGATAAATTCCTCTTGTACAATGTGTATTAATGAAGGTCTGTGAGACAGGAGGGGGGGGACGGCTGACTGTCTGGGAAAAATAGACCAGTGAACCTTTAAAAGAGGAATCAAAATCAGACAGTTTCAGGTGGAAACAGAAGTTCAATTAGAGGCTTCTACAGAAAGGGTAGAAGCAGAAGTTCGAACCCCAAATTGTTGCATCTTATCGCTAACTCACCATCTTGCCACATAGATATCTATCCTTCCTAACACCTGCCCAGCTCTCCACTTATGTTAGAAATACAGGTACAGAAAAGCAAATCAGATATCAAGATTTCCCTCCTAGTTGTCAAAGTCACTGAATTAGAACTACATAACAGAACAAATTAAACAAAGAAAGTGAAAACTGTGAAGCAAATTATTTAACCAGTATATCATATTCCACTACAGAACAGTATAGCTTACGAAATAAAAAAATCTGCTTCTTTTACAAAAACATGATATGCTCTTACTGAAGAATAAGGGTTACGTGCACTCACAGCATGTATCTCTAAAGTCGTTTCCTCATAGTGAAGAAGCCTCAAATGATGGCATAACTCTGAACAAAGCCATGTTGATGACAGGATGGTCTGTCCAACAGGGTTAACAACAAGGGAGCATTGTAGGGCAAATACTTTGTGGTAATTCAACTAATTGACTATAATGCTCTTAATGCTTCTCATTTTTGTAAAGCACTTGAATTGCCTTGCCTTAAATAAACTTGCCTCCTTGCCTACAGTAATTGTTCCCAATTGTATAAGTGATACATAACGCCCTGTCTTGTAGAGCAGTTCAAAATCTAGTTAATAACTTCAACATATTTTGTTTGAAAGGCAAACCCCAACTGTGTGAAGGGAGACATATAGCTGAGCAGCAATATCCAACAAAAACTCAGATATGACCACAAAAAAATGGTGAATCAACTTCTCACTATCAAACCTACATATTTAGATCTAGTCTTTTAATCTTCAAAACATTTCCAACAATTAAATTAAATGAATACAGACATTGGTTGGAGCTACAATTATTAAAATAGGTATCTTATGTCAGATAATAATATCAAATAAATATGACATTCTAAAAAGCTACGTCTTTGTAAATGCATAGGGTGTGGTATAAGAAGAATCCACTGTATCAATCCCTATAGGGAACATTCAGTGATCTACTCCGTTATTCCATCCATTTCATAGTACAAATGCACACCAGTGTGCATTAGGTTTGAAAACACACATGCATAAACACATGCATTTTAACAGAGAGGTATCAGAACTGCCATCTTTATCGCAAGGAAGCAGGGGTTCAGTGCCTTGCTCAAGAAAACATTGACAATGCCAAACTGGCACCTCTCCAGCTAATAGTCCACACTCTGTGTTTTTGGTCCGATCGAGACTTGAACTGGGGACATTTCGGTTCCCAAGCCAAGTCCTACAGAGGTTTGGATTCCTTTAAACTGGTTGAAAGTCCAGAGATTCGAGGAGGAATGATAAAAAATGCTATAAAGTCCAAAGATTCATGCTGGAAGTAAAAACTTAAAACAGGTTAAAATATCCTAATTGTGGGAATTGAAAAGAGAAGTGGTTTAAAGGTCAAAGATGGGTTCTGGTAACAGTCAAACAGGGAAAATGTGTTGTCTGGGGATGCAAAATGGATGACAGAGAAGGATGAAAGGAATATAAAAAGGTTAGAAAACTGTCAAAAGAACTATGATTTCACAGGAAGACTAGGGGTAGAGGAATGTGAGAGTTTGGTTAGGGGTATTGCCAAATATCTGGAACAAACTAAATCCAGGCTGAAGACTTTCTTTTTGCCGCTGCTTTTTATTGAACTATTCACATCTTACACTGCACTGTAACTTTTATTCATGTACCTTTGTTATTCATGTTTTATTATCTTTGCTTTTTAATGTTTATAATATGTTTCCGCAGCACTATTTCTTAATACTCTTAATGTCTTTCATCTTTGTAAAGCACTTTGAATTGCCTTATGTTGAAAGGGGCTATATAAATAAACTTGCCTTGCCTTGCCTTACAGACTGAGCTACCTAATTAAAGGTAAAAACTATTTTATACATTTCTTCAGAAACATAACACCAGAAGGCAGACGTATCAGCATGTTCTCCTTATTCCCACACAATGAATCCAGATGATTCAAAGGTGAACCCAGCACATGCAGACACATATTGGAGTACTATCGGGATTGTTCTGACCATAGAAACATAATTAAGTGTGTGAACCACGAGGGGAGTGTACCCCCTAGTGTGTCCTTTTGTGAAGTATCCCCCGCTGCCTTCACACACTGCTGCATTGATCATTGCACCTCAAACAGTGTTGTACACACTACAGAAACACACTGTTTACTTATTCATACAGCCTAAACAAAGGTTCAGTCAGAGATATAAAGTACATAACATCAATCCAGACCCTCCTATAGCAAACCATCATGTTGCTGCTTCAATTCTAGTTACTTAATGGAAAGAGAAACCTGATGCGTGGCATTTCATTCTTTTGGACACATTCAATCCCGTCAATTCAGATGTTAGAGCACACCCTGCCAAACAGAGTAATATCAATCAGTTAGATAATGCCAGAGAACAGAAGAAGGCTTTGCTTATCCAGCTTGTGTTTATTTGAAACACCTGTTTGAGCTGAAACTGGCATCACAAAGCAGCCAGCACAAACTGCTTTTGTGCAAGGTTGCTGAAAAACCAGTTATGATGCTGAATATTTGTTGTCTTCCTTATTCGTGACAAGATCAAACTATTTGCAATGTGATATGTAAATCTGGCAATGCCGGCTTCAAGGATTCTCCTCATCGTTAGATGTTTTACTTAAAATAAAAATTAAAATTATTAATACTACTGTGTAGAAATAGTTTGTTAGAAGTGCAATTCCTGCATTCAGAATGTACTTAAAGGTGAGGTATGTAATTTATTTCAGAAACACTTTTTGTTATATTCCATGGAATGCTCTTAACATCCCGATAGCAATGAATACATTAAATGCTTTGACAATAAATACATTAAAAAAATGTCATCTGTGGAAGCCGTGGCGCTGTAAAAAGCACAACCAATCATCTGTGCACAAACTTATCTCGTGCCCTCATTGGTCATGTGCACGTTCGTGTGTGTTGGAGGAGGGGCTGTGTAAGGAAGTGGCAGATTTTTTCCGGTTGTGTATTTTCAAATTCTAGCGCACTCGAGCTGGCTTCTCCAAAATTACCTACCCCACCTTTAAGTGAAAGTATTAGCATCAAAATATGATTGAGTACTCATTATAAAGAGGGGCCATTTTAGGAATGATTTATTACTGAATTACAGTATATTCATGTCTTCATCATTTACATTTTGCAGCTGGTAAAGGGTGAGCTATCTTTTAAGAGGCCATATTATCCTTTTTGGTTTTCCCTTTCCTGTAGTGTGTTCTATTGGTTTGTGTGCATGTAAATGGTCTGCAAAGGCTAAAATCCCTGTGTTCCCTCCAGAGGGAGTTTCTCTCCCCCCGCCTGAAACACCTCCATTGGACTCCTTTGTTTACATAGTGACATCACTATGTAACACTTGCGCTTCTATTGGCTAGTGCTTGTATGAGCTAAGGGGTGGGACATCTGTAAGCAGTTGACCAATCACAACAGAGCCTGCCAGCTAACCAATCAGAGCAGACTGGGCTCTGGTTTCAGACAGAGGGTGAAAAGAGGTGCTGCAGAACAGGCAGTATGAGAAAAATAAAGAGCTTTTTGAACATTAAAGCAAGGAGACATGTCCCAGTAGAGACACTACATACACATATGAACCTGAACATTTGCATAATAGGGTACCTTTAAGAAAGCTTACCTCAGTCCTGTCAGAGCCAAAAACAGAAGCATAAATAATAATATCATGCTTTAGTTGAGCTATTGGTAAGAGTTGTTATTTTCAGATAAACAAATGAAATACATTGTCAGTGGTAATACATTCTGTATCAATATTTTGATAAAGGATAGAAACTTTGAATGTATAAAACATCTCTGGTAGTTTTCTTTTTAATGGTTCAGGCTACTTTCATTTCAATCTTTCCTGCGAGTTATATGACAAAACTAAATAAATGTCATGTCTAGAAGCAGGGTTAGGTCGAGGAGTTAAATGGGCTACAAATAAAAAAAATTCCTTAACTTACTGTTGGAGAGGGAGGACTAAGCTTTCCATCTATCAACTTGTCACCTCAGAAAAAAACATATTGATTGCTCTGGACTGCATTGTTCTTCACTGCAGTACGTGAAATAG